AACATCCTTGACTCTCCATATGAATCCATGATCACATTTCAACGCCATTAATAGACCCCATGATATAGACATGTTCAACTAAATATACCATTTTTGCACAACCATCAGACGATATTTATATTCAAGTCGTGGAATCTTCCTTCAATAATGTGTTTTGTTGTATCATGTAGTAATAGAGTTGGTGTTACAATAATTATTTAGTATAAAACTATCAATTCCTACGCTTGGGTTTTCCGCGAAACTAGAGTTAAAAAAAAATAATAATAATAACCAGGGTTGGTCCAGTTTTTTTTACCATCCGACTAATCTCTTTAGAATGAATGTAGTCGTCGAGTAGGTTACTCACCAGATTTTTTAATGGACATAAAACGTGACACTATTTCGACTGACCAAATGAAAGGGGTTGGAGAGTTTCGCGTTCCAGAAAAAACTAGAATTGGTGTTAAAATCATTATTTACTTTGGGAATATTGTTGAATCTACCATTTGTGGTGAAATTACTTGTTGGAAATACCACAATTGGAAATCTCTTATATCTACCACAATGCCACTGTTATGCTATAGAGAAAGACAATAATACTCCTTAAGAGGTTTGATGTTGAGCGAAGGTTCATGTGTCAGAGATAGGGTGCGCGTGAACTGTGAAGGACGAGGACAAGTGACGTTTGGCGGGAGTTTTAATCTTATACGCATTTAATGGTCTGTTTAGTGGAAAATTTAGCTTCATTAAAAAACAAAAAAAGAAGGTTCTCTTTGTTCATCCTCACTAATAGAAGTTAAGATCCATTTTTTCGTGTTTCTGAAAGTTCTGTTTCTGAAAGTTGCAGACGGTGGACAGATTTTGCTGGTGGACTGTAAATCGGTAAGATATGACTATGTTGTAATTGTTGTATTAAATGTAGCTACCATTTATTCTGCACCAACTGGGATGTGTAGGGGTGGACAAAATGGGTGCGGTGGTGGACAATCTGGAGGACCTGATTAATATCTCTTTGACATACGAAAACCCAGAATTTCTGGAAGAGTTGGATGAGATTGAAAGGACTCACCTAAAGGGAAAGAGTGTAATGGTGAGTACGAGCGTGCCTACAGACAGCGAGTACGAATCTGAGGAGAAGGTAGGAGATGATAGTGAGGAGAATGTAAGAAGAGATGGAAATATGGACGAGATTAGGGAGGATGTTGGGGAAAATGTCCATCCTTACAATATGGACGAGATTCGGGTAGAGGGTGGGGAAAATGTCCATCCTTACAATATGGACGATATTAGGGCAGAAAGTGGGGAGAATGAAAGGCATGAGAATATGGACAAAATTAGGGAGGATGGTGGGGAAAATGTTCATCCTTACAATATGGACGAGATTCAGGGAGAGGGTGGGGAAAATGTCTATCCTTACAATATGGACGATATTAGGGCAGAAGGTGGGGAGAATAGAAGGCATGAGAATATGGACGAATATGGGTCAACTTTACTTGATGAAGAAGTTGGAAACAATGACGAGTTTGGACACCATTTGGTCCTGGAAAATCAGACCTAGGTTTCCCAATCGTGGACGTCTTTTGCCCTGGGGAGGACTTATTCTGGTTTCTGGTGGATTACATTTAGCCAAAATTCCTGGAAATAAAGATGTTTCGAAACAGATTGTGAACAAGAGAATTGAAAATTTTTTTGGAACTAATATCCGATGAGAGAACGAAGATCTCACAAACCTAAAAGACGATAGGAGGCGACGGAGAAGCCGACGGAGGAATTGAGGAAAAGACGACAGAGGAATTGAGGAAGATGGTGGTTTTTACGAAACAACACCTATGGTTATTCAAAGGCAAAGACCAATGTTCGCTTGCAAAAAGCAATATGGAGAAAGTTGAAAAAGTGAAGATTTTGTCTTACATATTTTCTTTCGTAAATACAGTATTGTCAAATCCAATGACCCAACTCGCGTGGTGAAGGCGCGAGTGCCAAATGCGTGATATTACGTCAAACACAAATGAAGGTTAGTTTAGTCATTTCATCAGGGTCATGTGGTAGATTTCACAAGATTGGAAAATTGTGGTAGATTTCACAAGTAATTTCAAAATAAATGATAGATTGCGTAGTTTTACCATTTACTTTTCGGGATCTTTTTACTTTTGTCGAGATTAAATCTAGAATTTATTCACCATCCTGATTTTGTTTTGTCCCAAAACAATCAATTTACAGTTTCCAATTTCCGTATCTCGATAAAAAAGAGTTGAATGTGAATATTACTTGCCCCAACATGCAAGTAACGCTTTAGCGGTATCCCAATGTCCTTGCAAAGGTTCTTATTAAATGAACGATTTCAATGCATGTGTCATTGTCAATAATATTACAGTACGAAGGTGTTAAGGGTAGTTTTGTCCATATATTGGCAAGTACTTTGGTCCAATTCGGTTCGAC